AACTAAAACACCATCCTGTAAAATTCCTGAAAATATACCAATCAACTTTTGTGAGCCAGTAAAAATTAACTCCAGCACAGTACTGTAAAAAATGGCCTGTATAAAAAATGGAAAGCTCTCTTTCTGTAATTATGGACATATTAGTTTGCTTGTTATCTCTTTAAAAGTTTATGCCACAATTATCCTCTAAAATTTTAACATATTGTTCTTACATTAATATATTTCATGAGAAATGAATATTTCAATTAAGGATAGTTCACTAATAAGTACTGCTGTACTTTGAAAAAATAATGTACAGACTTCTCATGTGTTTCTGACTTCTAATCAGACTTGGATGCCATAGATAGGAACTGCCTGTGGGTAAAAAGACACAATATCTATAGATCACTAGATGTTGAGTGTTTTCAAAGCCCCCCTTTATGATGTCTCCAAAATCAAAATAATTTTTAAAAGATCAGTCAATTTAAAAATCAAATTCCACTTCCAAGTGAACTAAAATAGGTCTAAATATAGATGAATTGGCTGTATGTATCCACTTGTAATTCCAAATATAAATTTAGGTATATGAATAACTTCATTGTATTAATGTGAACTAGTAAAAATCTTAGGTGAAGTTTGATGGTTAAATTTTGGAAATAGCAACAAATGTAGTCCACTTGATTGTTCCTTTGTTGTTAAGATTATATTTAAATGTGTATCTTTGGTATTGTTTTTTTTAACTGTATTCACCTTTTCCCACACTTCTGGGTCAATACTCTGGAGGAATTAGCTAAATATAATCTTAAGCCATAGAATAAATTATAAYTCTTCTGAAAAACTATTTGGTCTTTTCTTGTAAGCACTGCTTACATTTTCCATGTTAAACTAATATTATCTCTTTCAATCATATATTTTGAATCTACAGTACATGGATCTGTCTTTATTCAACATGCAAAAAATTGTCACTCAGGCTCATTTCATAGGATTTAATTATGAGCTGCCTGCAATCCAGCATTTACATAAAGTAAGTCCATATTTTAAAATTTTGGGTCTAATCAAATAATTTGATTGATTTTTTTAACAGGATATCACAGAACTGGAAAAACTTGATGTTATCTCTACTCTCAGGGAGCTTACAGTTTATGGCAATCCAGTGAGTATGTTACCTTTCTAATTTATTAATTTACTTATTTATGTAATTTATTTTTTGAGAAAGACTTTATAATATTAATTTTATCTGCATAGCCAGTTAATTTATTGATTAATGTAAAAAAACTATTGGTCCAGCACAATTTATTGAATAGTGTCTTCCACCTGATTACAGGGAAAACTGCTACATCTTATATAAGAAGGTCTATTTCAGGGTTCTACATTGTATTCATTTGCCTGTTTGTCTAGTGTTGTGCTAGTATTTTTATGTTGTCTTAATTACTAACATTTTATATTGTCTTAATGTCTGTTAGAGTAAGAGATTCCAAATATTGTTCTATTCTATCTCCTTCTCTTTCTCCTTATGTGTTTCTTTTTCTTTACTGCCTTAGTGATTCTTGGCCCATTAAAATTGCCTATGATTTYTGGACAAATTTCTCAAATTATATGAAAATTTTGTTAGTATTTTAATTGGAATTGAATTCATTTCTAAATTAATTTTGAGGGAAATTTGCCACCTTTCTTGTTGGAGTCTTCAAGAGGATCCAATAAGTACCACCTTTGTTTACCTAATATCTGAACAAACTGGAAAAAATGACAGTGAAGAAATTAAAATATCTTCTTAGCTTAGTATTCTGGATCTGGTATAAAAGAACTGATGGCAAGATTCTGTGAGACTAAAGAAAGGCAAACAGATCTCGTATTACATGGAGTGCAATTTATTTGGGACTTTCTGGCAAGTATGGTGAAGGACACAACAAGACCACTGGATCTCTGTGATTTGGGTCAGATGGAAGGGTTTACATAATAGCACAAAAGTGACTTTCATCTGAGCCAGAATGTTCTGATCTATCTCCAGCTAATATCAAAAACATCAGGCACATTCCTGGCACTGTAAAGCCCCACATAACCCTCTAAAGTTTATTGTTCATTTAGAGTATGCTGGGAAATTATTTAGGGAAAACATAACAGGGTTACATAGGGATACTCATAGAAGTCTCAAGATGGTTGCATTCAGTAAAGCAGGATCCCTTCAGTGAGAAAGCCAAATAGGCATGCTATCTAATCCCAGAAATAGGCAATCCTGATCACGCAGAWGCAGAAAATACTAGACTGAGACTTCTCTACATGGGAGGACACATTCTCCCAGCAATAACCTCTTTCCCAAGAAGAAAGGAGGATCCAAGAATGCTCAGTTCACTCTTCCCAGATCTACCAGTTAAGTCACTCTGCTTTTACTAGTGGAGAGGGAATGAAGAGGTTGAAAAAGCTAGAAGAACTACATCAAGGAGCTATAGTACTTCTACCAAGAAGAAAACATTCAAGGGGCTAGGGTTGTGGCCCAGCGGTAGAGCGCTTGCCTAGACATTCAAGGCCCTAGATTCAATCSTCAGCACCACATATAARTAAATAAAATAAAGTTATTGAGTCCAACTACAACTAAAAAAATTAATAAATATTTAAAAAAACAAAAAAGAAAAACAGGCAATAAGCAGTCTCCACTAACACAGCATTCAGCTTTCTCATAAAACACATATATCTTCCTTTTGTTTGTTTTTTTGTCTTTCAATTAAGATTAATAATTATCTCCTTAAAGATTTTAATCATTTTTGGCTAGATTTATTCTGTTGTTTTAATTTCTATTTTAAATGGTACCTTTTTTGTATTTTTCTATTTTTGGGGTTGTAGAAGTAAAGAAATTCTGGTTTTTGTATATTTCTCTTTGTCTAGGAAACTTGGTGAACCATTTTTCTAGTTCTAATGGTTTGTAAAAATTCTTTGTAAAAATTTACCTAAATTTTTATGTATTGTTATCATAGTACTCATGAATTTTTAAAGTCTCCCCTGTGTATTTTTGTCACCCTTTTTATATTTAAAATTGTCAATTTTGGGTTTTTGTTATTATTGATAAATCTTGGTAATGGTTTGTCTATTGAGTTAGTTACTTCAAAGAATGAGATTTTGGTTTTAAAGCTATTATTTCTTTGCTGTTTCACTAATTTCTACCTTTTTTTTCTTTTAGTTTCTTTAAATTTTCTTTTCAAAAAATTCTTAAGTAGGATACCTAGCTCAATAATTTTCAATACTTCTTCTGAATCAATTAATAAATTTTAGGTTACAAAGTACAGCAGCATTCTAAAAGTTTTGATTTGTAGATTTTTTAATATTTATTTTTTAGTTGTAGTTGGACACAATATCTTTATTTTACTTATTTATTTTTATGTGGTGCTGAGGATTGAACCCAGGGCTTCGCACATGCTAGACGAGCACTCTAMTGCTGAGCCACAATTCCAGCCCTAGTTTTTWAACTATTTTTTATTCTTAAAATCATCTGTTTTCCAAAAGATTGCTTCTTTAATTTGTTGTGCATGTCTTTGTATTCATTTCAAATAAATAGTGTGGTTTTAGTTATCTCTTTGTCGTTTATTTCTGATGTTATTTTACTTCAATCAAAGGAAATATTCTATATTTTGGTACTTATGAGACTTGGTTTTGTGGCCTTGAATGTGTTCATTTGTTTGGTGTGTGTGTGTGTGTGTGTGTGTGTGTGTGTGTGTGTTTTAAATCAATCATATATGTTAGAGATATTTCTCCATTAGTGTATATGTATCTACCATCTTTTTAAAAAATAGTTAATTACAGTGACATGGTAAGAGTAGGATACACATGCAGATGAAAAGGGAAAGTCTGGAGGAATCTACATGCAGACTTCCTCATGCTCATGCCTGTGAGAAGATTACATGGAACAGAATTTTGTTGGAAACTGATTACATAAATCACATAGGGGACCCTCTCCTAATCATGTGCCAAAATTCCAGATCCTCAGAARGGAAGCAGGTTGAGTACAAATCATATTGCACAGTGAACTACCCTTATCAGTTAAGGAATGGTGGGAACACTCCAAGTACCAAAAACCAGGCAAGAGCCATCTATCTGTACAAGCACACCATTCTAAAGTTCAGGCCTACTAAATTTAACATTTTCTACATACCCTCTTAGGCATGTTTATAATTTTCTTTTTGTGAGGGGGGAGTAGTTTGACACTAGGAAGAGTTGGTGTATATATAGATATGTACTAAATTAAATAGGATAGTTCCTTTTGGAAAATATCATGTAAGCTCCAGAACTTTCAACAAACTTTCATAATGTAATCCTGTCCAAAAATTAAGATTGCCTGTAGTTAATAACAGTACTTTACAGTATAGCCTTACTAATATCCTTAGTTTTTTCTAAAAAAAAAAAATTCTTACCTGCATTTAGCATGATAAGAAATTAAAAGGGGCTCATATCTGTAGTATCTAATATTATAAATTAATTGTTACCCATTATCTTTGCTGTCTTTGTTAAACTGCCTTCTTTTAAAGGTTAATATTTGAAGTAAAAGTGATTTTAGTAATAAATTGTTATGTTTAACTTTCTTTAGATTTGTAGAAAAATGCTACATCGTCATGTGCTCATATTTCGACTACCTAACTTACAGATGTTAGATGGAATTCCTGTAAATTCAGAAGATAGAGTAAAAGCTGAATTTCACTTCTCTGAACTACAAGCAAAGAAAAATACAGTAATTATATTATTGATACTTTTCCTTTTGAAACATATATATTATTAGTAAATGAACATTATATCTTATACATTGTGACTTAAAATGTTTAAATCTATGTTTTTATAGATTATTATAGTATCTATTTTGTGATAACTACCTTTTTCTATTAATGTACCTTGACAAATTATTTAGTGTCTATGTGCTTAATATATCAGATTATGCTTGAAGGTAAGAAATTATAACATCATTTTTATGAAAAGAAACTAACAATAAAATTGTTTCCACTTAGGCAGAAAGGAAGAGAAGGAATGAGTTCTCACCTCAACTCTGTATCATACAGTTCACGTAACAATGGAGATATGYGTCTCTTTTCTTGTATGCTGGCAGAATTACTGGGCCTTTTACTTGTGGGCCCTAAAATGTATTGGCTATGGTAGGAAAAAGAGACAGAAGAAACCACAAAAACATATCATTAGGAAATTCTATCACTGACCACCCCTTCTCTTAATGACTTTGCCCTAATGACTAAATTTAACACAGAAAATCAATGGCTTTTGAACAAGACCAAACATTATTWGAGGTGAGCCTTTGTAAAATGTGAGGAAGAAGAGACTGGAGGAGATAGGGAAACCAGTTGAGATTTTTAAGAATAATCCAAGAGAGAGATTGCAAAGACCTGGATGGATGTGAATGAAGAATATAAGTGAGCCTCTATGTAAGTGAAAACCAGAGACCAAGGACATTAAAAAGTTAAGGAACAAAGGTTATTTTWAAAAAGGCATCTTGCAGAGGAAAGAGATATTTACTGTAGAAGCCCTCCTAATTGGCTTTCACTTAACTCACTAGATTAATTGATACTTTCCATTCCCTCTGTGAATCAAATGAATTCTCAGAACACACAGAACTGTTAATACTTGTGGGCTCCTCTCTAGTCTACTTCGCACTTCAGCAGTAGGTTGACATACTCATCAAGAGTTGACTGTGTTGGTTTTTTTTCAAAACCTGCTATACTGATTCTTTTTTTCAATATATGAACTTTAAGAACAAAGTTTAAATTATTATTTGTTTCTATGAATACAAAATTGGATATTTTGGAAAGTCTGGATAAAAACAAGCACACACACACTATTAGTATATAATGTCAAATTAGGTATGGAAGAAAATTATAAAATAAAGGAGAAAATTATTAAAATTTAGAGAAAATATATGGGGAAATTATTTTTTAAAATCTAGACAAATTCTTATATTCAAATTTTCCTCACATATCTTTAAATTCTTGTTATTTTAAAGAAACCCAAACTGGAAATTGTAGGAAAAACCTTAAGGGTATTTTATCCAAGAAAAATCAGATAAAATACCAATCAAAAGACCCTGCTTACAGAAAAGAACTTGCCCCTTTGTCAGAAGATTGGTGAATGCATGTAATTTTATGTTATAAATTTTTAAAGATATTTGCTATATATTTTTATGACTTCCTGAATTTTTTATTAATCCTAACTTTTCTGATTAATATTGACTTTAATTAACAAAGGAGTTTCTACTATAGGTCAAAGTATCCACAGAGACTTGTGAAACATAAAGTTGTTTAATGTTAATAAAAGTTATTAATATTAATAAAAATGATTTGTGGATATCTACATTTTTTCTAAAATATATGTCTTTATCTTAGCCATCAATCTGTATGATGTAGATAAAGAAAAGCACTACATGTCTCATGTACTCAAATTCTTGTCACAGGCCAGTCTTTCAAAAGAGAAAAAAAAGATGAAATAAAATATAGTTCAGTAATTGAAGGTTTCTTTCCCTTTCTTGATTTTGTATTCCTGGAGCAAGTCACTTCTTGAAAATTGTATGCCTCAGGAATTAGTTTTTTATTCCAAATGCAATAAATTATCACAAATTTTGTGCCTTAAAACAATAAAAATTTATTATATTACAGTTCTGGAGATCAGACATCTGAAAAAAAGCATTGGCTAGGCAGCATTCCTTCTGGAAGTTCCAGGAGAGAACTTGTTCTTTGCTATTACCAGTTTCCAGAGACTATCTACATCCCTTGGCTACTGGCCTTCTTCCAGCAATGTATCACTTAGACCGCAAGTTTCYATCATCACATCTCTGTCAGATCTTTCTGTCTCCATCTAGATAGTCACAGTAATCTCCCCATGTCAAAATCCTTAACCATATCACACCTGCAAWTTCCTCTGCTATGTAAAGTAAAATATTCACACATTTTGGAGATTAGGATATTGAACATCTCTGGGAAAGAGAAATTATTCTATCATACCTCATGTAAGGGCTCCATTGAGAAACCTATAAAAATTATCATATTAAAATTTATAGATTCTATTTTAAAGTAATGTTAAAAAATAATTTAAAACATATTTAAAGATCCCAATTTCCCTAGGTAACTTTTAAAAATTGTTTTCATATAGCAGAATAAAGTACATTAACTTAAATTTCAGTCAATGATGAATATTTCATTGAAAAGTTTAYTTATTGTCCATTTTTTCTATATCTTACATAGTGAACCCAGATTTTTCCCAATGCTCTTCTATGATGTAATCTTAGTCTATAGTCTTGCCATTTGAATCAGTGCTCCATAAAAGAATTTAACTATCTTTCCACTTAGTTTTTCTATATGTAAACATTTTATTTTAAATTTTGTTTTTGGTTCATCAATACATGGTTAGTAAAACAAAAGGTGTATTTGAAGTCTTTATTCTGGAGATAAATGTTTTGACTTGCAACAATCACTCTCATTTTCATGGCTAAAACAAAATTGAGCCATTATCAGTTCAGTCTAATATACTAATCTTTGTGACTGCTATTCTTGCTTTTAAACACCAGAAGAAGGAGAAATGAACTCTAAAAGCTGTCTTTTAACCCAAAACATTTTGAAATTAGTTTTCTAATTCCTAATAGAATGCTGTTAAATTTTAGCATTCTAGATTAGTGATAGGAAGTAACTCCCACAAAGGAATAAGGGAATTTGAGACTGGCCAGCTTTAGTAAAAACCATTCATTTCAAAGCTGTCTTCTTGGTAACAAGAAAGTATGAAGTAAATCAGTAATTTTACACAAATGGCAAAGGCCTATGTCTCTAAATAGGTTCAATAATATGTTCAGAATTCATATCTTTAAAAAGTATAAACAAATTCATAGTATTAATGACATCAGAGGGGTCATAAATTTTTAGGGACAGTAAGAGTCTCCCTCTCAAAATATTTTTCTTCTCCATTTGCCGATTCCTGAAATTCTTTAAAAGTCTCTTAATCCTTGATGGTTTACATTGTAAATACTATTTAAAGCTTTACCACTTTCATTAAAATTATTGTAATTTGCTTTTCTTAGTCCATATTTTATTAACTTGGTTTTGAAAAACTAAGTAACTGCAAGGCACCTGACGAGGTAATGTGAAAAAGAAGAAACATTACACTTACCTTATTAATACACTTTGAAAAGAGGAAGTGCCATGAAGCACCAGCTTCTAGTGCTGAGTGCAAAAGCAGTCTGAAAAAACAGAACATAAGGATAATCACCAAGAGAGCTCTGTGGATTCTACAGGTTTTAGTTAGTACCAGTTCTGTATTTAAGCAACCATGTTAACTGCTGACTAAGAAAAATTTGATTGTCATGTGAGGTTTGTGGTGAAGACTAAACCTGTTGATCTAAGATTTGGAGGTAAGATGTTCTTAATTGTTTTGTTTTATTATGTAGTTTATTCCTGTTACCAACTCTCCTATGGATGGTGGATCATTCTGCCCAATGAAAGCATCTCCCATTAAAATAACAAATGTAATTCTGCCTGGTGGATTTAGCCATTAYTTGGGACCCGACTTCACTTTAACTCCTGAAGTTGAAGGTATTTTGACAAGAGTTTCAGAGAGTGTAAACAAAACACTTCATTTGAAATGAAAATCTCACTTTACTTTTAATATTCCTTAAAATTGGGTGTTTTTAATTTATATTTTTTAAAATTGTATGTTCAAGTTTTCTGTGGCCATTCTGATTTCAGAGACAATGGTAGTTTTTGTTCTACTCAACTACTAAACTAGCTAAACATTTGCTCTCTCACAGTGTAAACTTTGTGATACTTGCCCTATTRTTTCCTGACTTTTTCCAAAACTTTAATTTTCTTTATATTGTAGCTATCTTAGTAAATCCTGCTAAATGTAGAAATMAGAAAATTTTTAATATAACAACAGAGCTGGGCACAGTAACAACCCTGTAATCCCAGCAATGAGGTAGGCTAGGTAAGGCAAGAGAATCACAAGTTTAGAAGCCATCTTGGGTAACTTAGTGAGACTTGTCCCAAAGCACAAAAAAAGGAATGGGGATGTGGTTCAGTGGTAGAGTGTCCCTGAATTTAATTCMTAGTACCATAATAAATAAATAATAACAAAAACAGAATCTTTGGGAATAGAGGATATCTTAGAAAGAGGTCATATTTTTTCACTAAAACCACTGGTAAATTTACGAAGCAATTAGGGAAGAGTTTCAAGAGGTAGAGCTTTAAAGGAGGGAATATACTAAAATAATAGGACAAGGAAATGATTTTATTATACACATTTTAATTCAGATTTAGAATAMACCTGTTCCAGAATTCCAGATCTTAAACTGGCTATTATTTCAGCAAAATTGGGGATAGCTAGTCTTTCTTCAGGGCTCACCACTTCCATTCCTTTTAACTTTCCCTTGTCCTTACACCACTGTTAGACAATAAAACTCAACATCACAACAATTACAAAATTATCTTAAAAGCCTACTATATAAAAGTAGGCAATTACTCAATATGGTTACAGTTTTAAAGTAAACACAATTAAAAGACACCTAGCTAATTTATTCTGTTAGATTTATCTTATTTTTCATACTTTTACATATTTTATGACTTTCAGTTTTAGTAAAAATGAGAGCTGTTTTTGTCCAGTAGGTAGAAATATACACAAAATTGGGCAATCTAAATTGTTTTTAGTGTACTATCGTTTTCAGGAATGTCTTTTCCCTATTAGTTCAATCCTCGACTCATCTTCATAACTTCCTTTTCATATATCCTTCTTCAAGATTTGTTAGGATTTCGTGGAAAACTCCTTAATTTCTTTCCTATTTTTTTTTTCATTTTGGTGTCCTAAGTTGTATTTTGAAAAGTATAGTTACTTCATCTGTACATTTATTACAGCATGCAGATCTGGATATTTGTATTTTTAAAAAATTACCCAGAAAGGATCAAATTGATCCACTAACTCACAAAAATTTAAGCCACATTAAGTGCTATATGCCAATTTTATATTTTTATTTTAAATGTTTAATTCATACTATAAAATATGTACAACATATTTTCGTCTTACCCACAACCAAACCTTATTACTTAATGTTTTTCATTGTTTCATAATTTTAACTGTCTGAATTCCTACAAATTCAGACAAAAAAGACAAGAATACAGGGATCCTGACAAGTAATCCTCGGAGCATCCATGCAGAAATAGCTTTTCGGCAACTTAGAGGGATAAATCTCTCTCCTAATCTTCTGTCACATCCTAATATTGCATCTCCAACTGCACAAATGTACCAGAGCAACCAAAATGAGGGAAGGTAAGCTATTATTTTTTAACATTTTTATTAGTAGTTGATGGACCTTTATTTATTTATATGCAGTGCTAAGACTCAAACCCAGTGCCTCACACRTGCTAGGTAAGTGTTCTACAACTGAGCCACAACCCCAGCCCCAAGCTATTCTGTTTTAATAAACATCATTTTTCACCATTTTAAAAAAATTCTCCATATTTGCCAGTCATGTATAGAAGTGTAGTAAATATGTTATATATTATTATATATGTACACTGATAGCTGAGAAAAGTTATCAGCATAGGGCTTCTTTTCACCCATTCACCAAACCTTTCCCAAAGTTCAGAGTATTCACATAATTCAAAAGATTCAAAATGACCATCAAGGTTGAATAGTCCTCAAGAAATTCCAAGTGCTCACCAAGGAGGTAACACTGAAATAATTACCTGGGAACTATTTTTAATTGTATTCTTTCTCCACTCTACTCACTAAATTTGGAAAGTAGTTTACTTAAATTTTGAATAGCAGATAAATTCAATTATGCAAATGTGAGGGTAAAGAATTTTCGAAATTCTTCAAAGCTTTTTTTCAAGTTCCCACTTATCACCGTTTCTAGGCTGGACCCAGCCATATAGCCAGCTCAATCCTAAGAATATTATTAATTCTCATTCAGAGTCCAAACTTCCCTGCCTGTATTTCTCAGTTGCCTGCCCCCAGATATTTTGTAGTTATACCTTCACTCTCCAATAGCAGATCTAGTATAGGCATRGTTCTTTCTGCACTGACTCTCCTGCTAGAATCAGTTGTGTTTCAGTGAGTTCTCAGGATAACCTATTTTTCAAAAATAGAATCATTTTCTCCTTTATATTATTTTTATGAAATTGCATGCATATAAAATGTAGAAATTATGGGGTTGGGGTTGTGGCTCAATGGTAAAGTACTCGCCTAGCATCCATGAGGCACTGAGTTCAATCCACAGCACCACATAGAAATAAAATAAAGATATTGTGCCCACCTAAAAATAAATAAATAATATTTTTAAATGTCGAAATTATTTACTGTACAATTACCTTAACTACCTCATTAAGATAATAAGTTACCATTATTTGACTTATAAATATCCTACTTCTTACAGAATTCCTGGGAGCAACTTTTCAAGATCAAATCGAATGTAACTGCCTACACAAATGAGCATATGCCAGGAAACCTATTTCTTTTGGGAGTTATGCAAAAGCTAGCAGACAGTAGTCAATGAAAAAAAAAAAGAATAAGAGAATCATGTTACTCATGTTACTGAAGCACTTCAGTGCCAACTGAAGATATCTATCACTCCTGATGAATTTGATTTAATATCACCTCTCTTAAACTTTCTTTATGGTTATCTTAATTATTTGGATTTCTATATTATAAAAATCATGAACTGTTAATAGCATTCAATAATTTGAAAAAAATGAAAGTCACATAAAACAAAATCCAGAGAATCAAATGCCTAGTTTTGATATTCAATTATAGTCTGTCATCTGAAATTATTAGGAAAAGGTAATTTTAGGAAATAAGCACACTTTCATTCATAGCATACTCATTTGAAATTACTAAACTAAAGCATACATTGCTTACCAAACACAACCATTGCTAAAGCTAGTTGTTTGTTACAGATTTTTAGGATTATACCTGGGAGAAAAAACAAAAAACAAAATCTCTAAAACCAGATCTTCCCTCAAACTTGTTTAGAGATGCAAATAGTAAACATCAATACTGGTTCCTCAGAATGAAAGAGTCTTTTTTTTTTTTTTTTTGGTACAAATTGAATTGTGTCTACAGGGCAACGATTTTCAAGTAGTTTGTCTGAAAACATACGTTCAAACTGAGTGAACAGTTTTGATCTTTAATAATTATATTTCACGGGAAAGAATTTTTCCTAACCTATTACATACCTAAAATATCATAAATCAATTAAATATGGTTTTGAATTTGTTAAGTACAGTTCTTTAAGTTGGTGACTAAATTATATTTTGATATAAAAGGGCTCCATGATTCAGAAAGTATCCTATTTTTAAAGTATTGGTTCAATATATATATTTCATATCGTTTTCATGATATTTCTTTTAATAAAAATAAATTGTTTTTTCCAAAATGTTTATACTTTAATAAATCTATCTGGCAATAATTTCAAAGAAATTTTTCAAAGATAGAGTTCCAATGTATATGCAATGATTTTGTATTTTTCTTCCTCAACTGTTGTATGTTTGTAATTTAATCATGTAATATTTAAAATTTCAAATCTAATTATAGATTGATTTTGCACTTCTTAATGTGTGGTTTTTAAATAACTATTACACAATGGAAATAAGGTCCTTTGTTTAAAAAATAACTATGCAATTCTTAAGATGTCCAGAAGATGTCTTTGTTGCCCTTTAGTTTTGCAACTGCTTTTATTACAATACTGTGACAATGTCTACACTATTACTAAGCTGGTATCATTTGCTTTTTCTTTTATGATTATATATAATGAAATTCTGAATATATGCCATTTTAATAACAAAAGTATCTTTAAATATGTAAGTGGAAAAGTAAATATAATAAGTTTTCACTGGAGAAAAGTATTATAGAAAAGTAGGAAGCAGAAAAAAATATACCACATACATTTAACATTTTTGCACATTTTTAACCATTTTTCCTATGGATTTTTAAATTATATTTGAGATTTTTCATTTGAGTTGAAAGTTAGTTCACATCGCTAAATTTTGAGATATTTTGTAGTTCTTATAAATTTTTAATTACATCTGAATTGCTTCTTGAAAATAATTTTAATACATAATTTGATAGCAACACTAATAATAAACACATATTTAGGCATTGGTAGGTATTACACCAAATATAACTATAGACCCAACCTTTAAGAACCTTTTAATATAAATACACAATTAAGTATTTTCATATAAAAGTACT